CCATTATTAAAAATATATATAAAGTTTTACGACAAAACTATACGTAAGTTGTCGGATTATTTTCCTACGCAGTATTGTTATGGTCAACCGAGTGACATCATCGTAGCTAAAAGGGCTGATTTGCAGTGCTTTGCAAATCGAAGGGGCGCTTTGCCAATTAAAAAAAGTCGAGGTGGGGCCCTATGCCACAACACTGCAAATCGAGGGCTGAATTGCACCGTATTTACTATTAGTTCACTCATCAGAGCTGTTCTCTGTGAGGGTGAGTAGGTAGACATCAGATAATGATATCAGCCCAAAAATCTATGGCTGCTTTGACGTCTTCTTTCTCTGTATTTCGGTGCTTTCACTTTCTTTGCATTCCATATCCATTCGTTTAAGTTTATTTGTAATGTAATGTTGAATTTGGTGTTTGATTTCAACAGTAATTATACGAAAACGGGGAGGACTTTTGCAGGCGTGCGAGCATTTACAGGAATCTACTCTAATGTTGGTTCCATAAAATTTCTTACTGCAGACAACTCTCGCAGGTTTTATTTCCCCTTTTCTGTGTGTGCCTGCTAAAGCTTTGTCTTTTTCTTTGGTATAGAGAACATGGGTTGTCATGGGTCAGGATTGAACTAAAAAATGGTTCTTGTTCTTGGTATTCATGTCTTGGTCGCCAATTAGCTAAATAACTAGCATAGAAGTGTGTTGTATTAACCAAACCCAATTACGTACTAATTGTGTAATGGAGGCATTGAGGGGTTAATTTGCAATTTAAGCAATTGAGGAAGAAATTTTTATTCTGAAAGTGGCTCTTTTCATCTTGAGATCAATGGAACTAGGTAGATTGATTTTTGGATAAGTAAAGTCTTCATTTTTAATTTCCCTTGATGTCTCTTGATACGTTTCTTACATGTTGAATTATTCTTCCACTAGATATTTGTGTTGTATTAGTGCTACACATGATGAAGAAGCTTCTGCAAAAGCAGCAGCAGCCAAGGCCAACAGTGTTGCTCCAACCATGTATCTCCATAACAAAACTGGTTTCAGTGGTTTGGTCTTACATTACATTCTTGTTACTGTAGGGAATTTGTTTGTTCAATGATATCTTGAGGTTCATGGAGTTGGACCCGCGAGAATATGGAAATCCACTGCCCTTTTGAAGGCTTTGAAATTAATTACCTGATTTTGGGGGAAGAATTTTTAATTCGACCGATTTTTCACCTAATGAATAAAATTTTGAGCAAAACTCTTTAACTTGTTAAAGAAAGAACCTTGACCCTATAACATGCAGCAGAACCATACCATTCTAGTCTGTGCTGAAAACTTCTAATTTACCATAAGAGGGGAAGGGAAAGATATTGCTAACTACCAAAATCATTGAATCAGATACATCAAGTAGAGTTTGTGTATAAGATGACACATATTTTTGTGACAATAGCACAGATGAATACTAGTTATGTGTTCATGCTGCTTGCCAATTGAATTGAGAGTTGATATCTTCTCCTTCCTCAGATTTGACAAGATCTTAGCGAAGGAAATTCCTTCAATCATTGTATATGAGGATGATAAGGTCTTAGCATTTCGGGATATTAATCCACAGGCTCCTGTTCCCGTTTTAGTCATCCTTAAATTGAGGGATGGATTGACAGAGCTTGGGAAGGTGCATCTTGGTCGTACTTAGTATTGCTATGTTTTTCTTGAATTCGTTGCATTGGTTGAATTGGATAGCTTAGATGGACATTAGAACCCATTATTCTGCAACTCACTTTTTGGATTGGTTTTTGTTTTTCATTACTAAAGGGTTCTTGTATTACAATTAAACAATTTTCTTAATATGTGCCTTTAAAACAGTATATTTTTGTCATAAATTTATATAAAAATTTAAAAATTGCCATTAATCTGTGTTAGTGTTAAATTAATGAATTTAATTAAATAATTGATAAATTAAAAATTAACTTTTATTTTTTAATACAAATTTATAATAAAATATATTTATTACATGTTATCTTCTTGATTAGAAAAATCCTTAATTATAATGCCTAAACTTATTATCATTATTATATAAGGATTGGGGAAGTTCCTCACCTGACTTTTGAAAAGATGTTTCTTCACCATCATCTGCATTTAACTATGAACCTGCCTAGCATCCCCACGAAAATACTTGTGACCTGTTGACCAAATCCATAAAATCTTTATTAGAATTTTCTTGAATAAGAGTTCTGAGGGATACAAGTGCTATAGAGAAATTCTTATTCCAGCCATTGAAGATGCAATGTTTGTCATGTTTACTGGTGGTTTCTATTCAACCATGTTAGGCTGAACCAAGACGTAAAGAGATTCTTGGCGAACTTCTTTATGCGGCCAGAATTGTTGCCGAGGAAGAAGGCATTCTTGATGGTTTTCGCGTTAATATCAACAATGGTCCTAGAGCCTGTAAATTATGATAATGTTTTCTTTTCCCTCCACTGAAACTTGTTTCATCCTGCATAGTTCTCTGTTTATATAACTCTCTGTATGATTATTGATCAGGTCAATCGGTTTATCATCTCCGCTTGCATGTCCTGGGTTGGAGGCAGATGAATTGGCCAAACGAAATGTAGGAGGGTTAATTTTATTCAATTTAAAAGTAAGGTGTGAGATTTATTTCTTTCAAAAAGCACAAAAGTTTCAGATTTAATAATCCCAGAAAGTAAAAAGGTAAATATAACCTTTTCGCCTTGAATTAATGGTACACAAACATTAAACCTCAGACACCAAGGCAGTTGAATTGGAAGCTAAAATCAATAATTAGGTAGTAAGCAACAAAAATCCCAAATTACATAGAAATCAAATAGAGGTAAGTAACAATGATCAGAGTGCTTACAGGTACTTGAAGACCGACTTCTCTGATGCTATCCATGAGATCCTTCACCTTGTTTGGATCATTGGCTCTGGTTCGCATCAGGGGTCTACTTATCTTATTAGAGGAAGCATCAAAATAACCGGACTCCCACTTTGTTTACTAGATCCCGGAAGAGCCCCTAGTGTGCATTCAACCCAACAAAGAACCCAATTGAATACAGTTAAAGACAAACATCTTCACATAAATTTCCATACTTTAATCTGCATGTGATTGTATGTGTAATCTGAAAGGTAAAGATTCCACCTTTGAGGAGGATTTTGAGAGCAGAACTTAATGAATTGAACAGAACAGCAAGAATTTCAAACAACTGGAGATACCCACATGAAGTAAATGTAATCTATAATGAGAGAGAGAGTACCATTAGATGAAGCAGAAACAGTGAAACTCCTCAAGTTGGGTACTTTCGGGATGTAGCCCGCCATTCTCTCCCTTTACTTTCTCTCTGTAAAATCCAGAAATGAAAGATATACAGTATGATGGCATGTGATGACGCCTAAAATTGTGACACACGCGCCTTTACTCAGAGCCACGGAAAGATGCCAAGTGGTATGGTCAACGTCAACGGGCAAGATTACGATGGCCACAAATTCATCATACAAATTTTCAAGGCAAAATCTTCAAACTAGCCGTCAAACTTCTTCACAATCAGCAATTACTACCTTACTGTTTTTCTAGTGGCAAATCAGCCCTAACTTAGCAATTTGGTGCTGGGCAAACGTTGTGAATTGTAGATTTTTTTTTTCTATTGATGTTGAATTGGCAAAGATGAGGAGGAGAGAGTAGAGAAGATATAATTTCTTTCTTTTTTGTTTTTTTACTTATTTTTAAGTTAATATTTAAGTGAGATTTACCTGTCAAGTTAGCAACATCACAAGATAATGTATTTAATTTGTTTACACCATAATTAGTAATTTTTTTTAAATGATGCCACATGTCTTTATAAAAATTGAGCGGCCATTAATTTTTTATGATTTATTGTGAATTATTTGGTTATAATCCAGTACAGTAGAGTTCATTTTATGTTGTTATGAATTTGTATGAATTACTTTTATCAAGCTAGAGTCTTTAACGTTTTTATTAATTAAGTCTGAAGAGTCCAACTTTATTTATTTTAAAAGTGGATTTTATAGTGGAGAGTTTGTTGGGTTAAAAGGAATTATATGGCCAAGGAGGAGTACAATCCAAGTACTTTCAAACTATATTTGTTTAAATCTCATGGGATGATATTTTATTAGAAGTCAAATTTTTATCCTTCAAGAAAACTAGAGATTTGATCATTAATTTAAAAAGGAATTGACTCAGTGAAATGGAGAAAGACAAGGCTAATTTTTAGGGATTTCATTCGGTGTTTTTTTGCTAGATTTGGGCTGTGTTTTTCCTGTTTTTACCCAACTGACAAAGTGTAGAAGGAGAGAAATTAAATTGGAGTTGCTGAGATTATGTTTCACTATGGACGAAGAAGTGTTTAGATCTAATATTTTACTGATGGGAGCAATTATGAAGGTCTATAAATTCCAATTTTAAAGACATTATTAGATTACAAAGGCATGCTCTTCAACACAAATGATTTATCTTTCAAAACTCTTAATTTGTTTTTCAAGCATCCTTTAGTTTAGACTAACCCAACGATCTCTTATTTTTAGACTAGTTTCCAACATCTTTTCTTCAAGTTTTTAGTTCAATAGAAGTAGATCAATGTCCTCAGTGGATTCTTGTTCTTAGTTGATTTAGTCTTTTGGATACGATTAGTTTTTGTGATTTTTTCTTATTATTATGGTTTGCTTCTACTAAATTTCTCAATTGTTAAACATTTAATTTGATTTTAATTCAAACATACATGCAATTTTAGTTAAATTGAGAGTCCTTTACCTTTTTTGTTATATTTTCTAAATTTTTGCTAGATTTACATTTCCTACCTGCGGTTTCAATTTCTATTTAGTTATATTTTTTGCACTTTATTTGGTTAAGGTTAAATATCCTTTTTGGTCCCTCTACTATGGAAAAAAAACACTTTTTAATCCTTGTACCAAAAAAAATCCCCTTTTTGATATCTAATTTGAAATTTGACCCATTTTTAATCTCTATTAAGTTTTGGCTAATGTGATATGTTAATTAATGAAAAAACTTATTTTTTTTTTCTTGACTTAAATTACGTGGAAAAATCCATCTAGGAAAAGTTGATGACACGGCCAAATTTTCTATTTAATATAACCTTAAAAATCATTTAATTACATATTTGCCATTATAAATATTTTAAATGTTATTTTGTAATTAAAAATAGTTGACTTTAATTACTTATTTGCCCCCATCTTCTTCCTCCTTCTGTCTTATCTTCTAGAGCCTTCACACTAGGTTTGTCACAAATCCAGAAGTTGGGTTTGTCGCAAACCCAGGCACTGGGTTCATCGCACCTAGCTCCAACCATCCATTTCTTCTAGCTAGCATGAATAGGTTGACCCTCCTAGAGACAAAAGCACGCAGGACCTTTTTCTAGGTTTAGTAGCTTGAGTTTTAGTGAAGGTCTAAAGGGACACCAATGGAAATTTCCAATTTGCATGATTTATAAGCAAATTAGAAGATCTACTCACTCTCAATCTTCTACTCCAAGACTGACACTGAGTTCATCAATTAAAAGCAAAAAAATCTCACCATGACACACACAAAAAACGGATAACATAAAGGTTAAGATCCAATTCTTTGAATGATCAAATCAATAGCAGAAATTTAAAAACTAAATCGAAATCCTTCATACTCAGAATCAGTAGATGCAAGCTACAAAATAATATAGAAAGCGAAAGGTTAAATACCCTTTTCGGTTCCTCTACTATTAAAAAAAGCTGCTTTTTGGTCTTTGTATTGAAAAAATCCCCCTTATGGTTGGTCCATTAATTTTTGCTCACGTGGCACGTTATCTTAACAGAAATATCTGATGTGTATATTCCACCGTGTAAAAATGCTTACGTGGACTTAATAACATCCCTCCACATCACTTTTTCTACGCAAAAAATAAAAAACCTAAATTCTCCATTTTCTTTTTTCAATTCCTTCTTCAGAAATCATCTTCCTTCTTTCGAAATTCTTCGTTCATAATCAATCCTTTACATGTGAGATTGGTAAAGATATAATTAAGAATCCATAGGAATATTTTCATTGATAAACCCTAACTTCTCATCTACAAAATAGATCCTTCTCTTTACTCTCTCCCTAATTTCAGATTCTCAACCCTTTCTTCCTGTTGAATCTAGGTCATGAATGAACCAAGTTATGAAGTTCATAGCAACATAAACATAGCAATATAAATCTATCACCTGCAGTTTCAAACCAAATATCAAACATGATATGAGTTTTGTAATGAACCCAAAACTTGGGTTTGGTGAGGAACCTAGGATGATGAAGAGGACGGAGAAGGGGATGGCAAAGAAGATGGTGAAGATGATGAAAAGGATGGTGAAGATAAACGGTGACATGATGATGCCCAAGGATAAGGGTGAGGACGAGGATAAGGATGAGGAGAAAGAAGAAGATGAAGAAATTAAAGTTAATTATGTTTAAGTTCATTTAAAATCATAAATTAAGAAGTAAAATTTTTAATTTGTACACGTGGCCCAAAATATTTAGATGAAATACTTACATGGATTTATAATTATATCCACGTAATTTCCACCTCATTTATAATATTATTTATATAAAAAATAATCAAGTAATTTCGTTAATTAACGTGACAGCTCAGCAAAAATTTAATGGAAAGACCAAAAAATGGGTCAGACTTTAAATTTTAAGAACTAAAAAGGGGATTTTTTCAGTACAATGACCAAAAAAGGGCTTTTTTTTTTTTAATAGTAGAGGGACCAAAAAGGGTATTTAACCAAGCAAAATGCACAACAGAAGAGATCTGAATCTCTAGCTACAATACTCAAAATCGTCCCTAGGGACTATCTAATCATCAAATGAAATTTAAAAGCTAAATCAATATCATTCATATTCGGAGACAATGAAAATGAAAATGAAAATGAAATACGAAATACAAAGTCCTAGCATCCAACCAGAGAATGAATCATAGATTTGTGAACATGAACCTTATGGTTGTGACGAACCCATGTGTTGGGTTCACAACAAACCCAACAAGGGTTAAAAAAAAAAAAAAGCCAGAGGAAGACAGAAGGGGGAAGAAGAAGGGAGCAAATAAGTAATTAAAGTTAAGTACTTTTAATTATAAAATGACCTTTAAAATATTTATAATGGCAATTATGTAATTGAATGATTTTCAAGATTATATTAGATAAAAAATTTGGCCATGTCATCAACTTTTACTAGATAGATTTTTTGACATAATTTAAGTAAAAAAAAAAAATAAGTTTTTTCGTTAATTAACATTTCATATCAATTAAAATTTAACATAAGAACTAAGAGGGATCAGATTTCAAACTTTAAATATCAAAAAGAGGATTTTTTCAATATAAAGACTAAAATGAGATTTTTTCATGGTAAAAAAACCAAAAAATATATTTAACCTTTAGTTAATTTCCAGCACTTGTCTTTTTCTTATTTCATTACCATTAATTTAATTTAATGTTTATACTCGTTTACCTTAACCTAAGTTTTTTATGCACTTCAAAGGTAAGTTTGAGTTCATTGTATATAAATTAATTCCTCGTTTCTGCCAATTATCTGATTCAAATACACTACATTTAAAATTACATTCTTCCAACAAGCTCTTCATAAGGAAAAACCAAGTAAAAGGCGAGAGTCATCGATGAATCATTTTCTTACTTTTTTGGCAAAAGTTGATGGTACGTACTTATTGCAATTTCTATTACGAGATGTGGTCAATAGAATTTTAAGGGTAATAGTATTAGAATGATATGGTATTTTGTTGATGGCGTCAGGCGGCCTCCTAATGTGCGAGTGTGTTGCATACCACTGAACCATTAAGTTGGCTACCTACTCCACGTAGTAAATAATTTAAGGGATTTTTCAACGTCTGTTCTAAGGGGTATAAAATAAGAATTTTGAAAAAAATAAAAAATAATATTTAATTTATTAATTATTTAATTAAATTTATTCATATAACAATAACTTTAAAATTAATATTTATTTTTATATTTTTTATACAAATTTATTGTAAAAAAGTGGGTTAAAAAAATTTATTATTTAAATACAAAAATTTAAAAATAAGAATGTGTTAATATTTTCACATTTTCAAGACTTATTCTAAAATCATTCAAATATATTTAATAAATATATTTTTACGTTAATTCATTAAAAGTATTTTAAATAGTTTTTATTATCATTCTTAATATATCAATTGTAAACATCCTGATATTCTTTAAATTCTATATAAATTAGATCTGACAGCCTAAACTCTTTAAATAAGGAGTGAACAACCTTAAACCATATGAGTTGGGGGGCTATCTCTTTGTTTTATCCCAATCTTGATTATGACATTACAGAATTTGCAAACACAAGGATACATACTGTTGTCCGGTCATGATTATTTCATGATTTATTTCCTAGTAAGGAAAGAAAAAGGCAAACCGAAAAGAAAGGAGTTCCGTTGATTCAATCAAACATGGTATCTTTGAATTTCATCTTATGATTTTAATTTTTTAATACATTTAATAATAATAATAAGGGATAAAAACATAATTTTTTTTCTTTTTAAAATTTTCAGCTATACTTAAAATTACAACTTAAAATTTTAAATATAAAATCTAAAACCCTTCATTATTGAGTCACCTGTTTACATAATCCCATTGTTTTATTAGTTGGGCGGAAACAGAGTCTCCAGTAGAGCCTGCTCTACTTCCAGCATAAGCAGCAGTTCAGCGAGGAGTTGATCGCGTGTCATCTTCTCGAATTCCACCTCATTCTTCTTGTCTTCAGCAGCAGCTTCCATTTCCGCCACTTCCTCTCTCAGGTGGATGGTTACCGCCCTCATCTGCGCCGCTATCGCCTTCATCCGCTGAATAGCCCCTTCCATCTGTTACAGCCGGACACTCCCGACACCACTTCTCCACCTATGTGCTACAATCTATCAAGGAATAAAATTTATAGAGGGAACAGGTGGTGCCATAGCGCCTGAATTCTAAGTTTAGATCGAACAACTTTACACCAAAAAAAAAAAAAAAAAAAAAAACCTTTAGATCGATATTTACCAAAAGAAAGAAAAAAAGAACTTTAGATCGAACGATATTTACCAAGAATAATAATAAAAAACTTCAGATCGAACGATATTTAACCAAAAAATAATAATAAAACTTTAAATCGAACGACCTTTACCAAAAAAATAATAAAAAAACTTTAGATCGAACGATTCTGTTGGGCGGAAATATTTCAATCGAAGAGATTGTTCAATTACGAAAAGAAAGGAGTCATTGCATGCCGCAAATGCGCATGCCAGGAAAAGAATGCTGGCAAAGTAAAAGGTTCAACGATAAATTACGTAAAAAAATATAAGTTTTAATTATAAGAGAATAATACCTATTTATTTTATTTTTTAAAAATTAAAATAAAATTATTTTAAAATTATGTTATTTTAATAAATTTTTATTAAAAATAATTAAAATTTTTTATTTTTAAAGTATTTTTTATTTTTTTTATAACATTTTATTGAAAATAAGTAATTTTAAATAATTTTTCTTTTAATAAAACGAATAAACACTAACCCTTAATTATAGTATGTCATTATAATAAAAAATTTATAATGTCATTATATATTATAATATATTATTATATATAATTAA